TTTCATATGTCTGTTTGCTCCCCCCCCAAAACAAACAACAAAAAACACACACGTATTGATCCACATATTAGTTTCACACAAAAAAAATTTTTACCTTTACCATTAAACAAATTTATTTTGTCTATAGCAATATTCACAAGATAGACAGAGTAGCCACTTTATCTCACTTGGAATAGTCTTAGCCAAGTTTTCTAATACACGTATAAGGTTAAATAACTACTTATCTGATATCAAACCAGTTTTACACAAATACCATGTTTTTACTGTGTCATGCTGTTAAACGTGTTCTGAATTCTTAGCTAATTTAAACTCTCTATACAAAATTATATTCACTTTTTACCTTGAAGGAAATGATTCATTAATAATTCTGGACATCAAGATAATATAAAATACTTCTGCATATCATCATGAACAACTCTAACAGTTTTAATCCAAACATAATCTGGAAATGTCATTTTTAAACAGGAACTCTAAAATTGTTATAGTTATACTAATCTACATGAAATAATTCTTATTTACAATTTTTTACAAAAAATGGCCACACAAGAAATGTTTTAACTAACCTCACTAGTAAGCTTTTTAATAAATTCGAATTACGTATCAAATTATGCATTGTCACAAAATTTCTTCTCATCATAACATGAGACTCATAAAAAATATTTTATTCCAGATTCAACTGAGACTTATTTAGAAAACTATTTTATTACAAAATTATTTCAATACAAAAATTGACAATTGCCACTCCTTTGTTCATGGCTCATGTACATACATATATATGAGCAAGGTTACATATGCTGGCAACACTACATTCCACTTAAAAGCAGTCTCTGAACAGTTAGAGATGTCTAACAGAAACATTCTTTAGTTTATTTAAGTCCTTCATGAAGAAAACAAAGATCCCAGCATGTCTATTTGACAATTTTACTGCAAATTAGATCTAAATACATCCCTCTGATTAAAATTACCTCTTTTACTTTAGAAGGCAAGCCGCGTTACTTGTATCTTGAATTCAAATTACTATTTTAACTATGCTTGTGTTATTTATATATTTCAATGCATTTTCTTCTCAACTGATCTTTTATAATAAAATTAATGACCTCACTTTACACTTTAATTTTATGCATTATATATGTATATACAACTTGTTATTCTTTTACTATTTCATAAACTTTATGATTTCAAACATTGTTCTGATTTTGTCTTATCTGTATTAAAGTATTTCCAGACTTTACTGATGACAGGTTACGTTTGCTTCAAAATGCTTGATACTTGTAAACACAAATGTTTTATTCTTTCTATAATTTCAATGCTTAATTAAACTCTTTTACAAGAGCAATGTTAGCATGGTACTGATAAGCACTATTCTCAGAGATTGACATTTGTTTCATTACTGAACAAAAAACAATCACATTGCTTTATGTCATTTTAGACTCCTACAAATATTTAAACTTCTTATTTTATTAGTTTTACCCAGAAGATAAGTATCTGTTTGTGAAAGGGTGAAGGTCTATATGATGAACAAGAAAAGGAGATCCAACTGTTGTAAACTCTCAAAGGAACCAAACTGGAGAAATTAAATAGTTGTGGAAAAAATAACTATGCTGCATGACAACAGATTTAAAGTCAGAAGCCATTAAGAACATGGTCCATTGTGAGCATAAACAGTTCTTCATGAAGTTAAACCATCATCTCCAAAGCAGAACAAATGTTTAAATGACAGAAGAGTATGTTAAGT